GCCCGGCCCAGTGATAAAGTTTTGACAGAAGGGGATTTAATACTAGCTCTTAATAGTTAGGTGACCTTAGGAAATTTATGTAACTTCTCTGAGCCTCAATTTTCCTTATAAATATGGGGGTTGTGAAGTCTGAATGAAACAATTTCTATAGTGATTGACAGATAGTAGGCTTTTTTTTTTAATTTTATTTTTTTAGAGATGGGGGTCTCATTATATTGCCCAGGCTGGACTCAAACTCCTGGGCTGAAGTGATCCTCCCACCCCAGCTTCCTGAGTAGCTGGGACTACAGATGCAAGCCACTATGCCCAGCTAAGATGGTAGGGTTTTTTTGTATAAGAGTGATAGTCACTGCTTCCTTTCTGTCTACTTATTTTAGTCAGACCCATCCTTAAAGGCACTAATGTCAAATAGTGTTGATGGAAATGTTTTATATTTGTATTGCCAATTGGTAGCCATTAGCCACATGTGGATATTGAGCAATTAAAATATGACTAATGTAACTGAGAAATTTAATTTTTAATTTGAATTAAGTGGTTACTTAGGTCCACTCAAGACTCACCTTTTTTTCTTCAGGGAACTTTCCCTGACAAATGCTTCTTTTCTTTTCTTTTGTTTTGGAGATAGATTCTCACTTTATTGCCCTGGCTAGAGTGCTAGAGCGCAGTGGTATCGTAGCTTATTGCAACCTTAAACTCCTGGGCTCAAGCGATCCTCCAGTCTCAGCCTCCCTAGTAGCTGCGACTACAGGTGCACACCACCATGCCTGGCTAATTTTTGTATTTTTTGTAGAGATGAGGTCTCGCTCTTGCTCAGGCTTGTCTGGAACTCCTGAGCTCAAGTGATCCTCCTGCCTTGCCCTCCCAGAGTGCTGAAATTATAGGCGTGAGCCATCGCGCCTGGCCCATGCTTCTTTTCTTAACCTTACGTGGTCTCTACCACTTAATTGGTGGTACATTACTTTTTTTTTTTTTGAGACAGAGTCTCACTCTGTTGCCTGGGCTAGAGTGCCATGGCGTCAGCCTAACTCACAGCAACCTCAAACTCCTGGGCTCAAGCAATCCTCCTGTCTCAGCCTCCCGAGTAGCTGGGACTACAGGCATGTGCCACCATGCCCAGCTATTTTTTTTTTTCTATATATGTAATTTTTAGTTGTCCAGATAATTTCTTTATATTTTTAGTAGAGACGGAGTCTAGCTGTTGCTCAGGCTGGTTTCGAACTGCTGAGCTCAAACAATCCACCCGCCTCGGCCTTCCAGAGTGCTAGGATTACAGGCGTGAGCCACCGTGCCCAGCCGGTACATTACTTTTTATGAGTCTTATCTTTCTGGCTAGGTTGTATCTGAGGTTATAGATTTTTAAATCTCCCCATTGCTGCATGAAAAGGAACATGATAAAAGTATAATTGTAATATTTTTAGCTAATAAGTTTTAAATGATCATACATGTAATACAAAAAGTTTTCTAGCTAGTAATTAGGGGAAGATTAGGGAATAGTGTGAAAGTTATCTGCAGTGATGAACTGTGTTTCCATCTATTCTGTATTTCACCTGAAAGTTCAGATTACACTCAAAACTCTGGAAGAGGAAATTAAAGCCTCTTTCTTATATTGCCATCTTGTGGCAGACTTGGATTCTAAATGGTGCTAATTCAGTTTTCCTGTATCAAGGGAGAGTCTTTTTAGGATTATTGTGACAAAGGTGTACCAAGAATAATTGAAACATGCCTTGAAAAAACTATTTTGGATTACCTTCTCATTTATCTGACTCTTGTAAGTTCTTTTTAAATTTTTTTATTTTTTTTGAAACAGGATCTTACCCTGTTGCCCAGGCTAGAGTGCAGTGGCATCTTTATAGCTCACTGCAACCTCAAACTCCTGGGCACAAGCGATCCTCCTGCCCTAGCCTCCCAAGTAGCCGGGATTACAGGCCTGTACCACCTTGCCTGGCTGTTTTTTTTTTTTTTGTAGTGACAGGGGTCTTACTATGTTGCTTAGGCTGGTCCTGAACTCCTGGCCTCAAGCAATCCTCCCTCCTAGCCTCTCAAGGTGCTAGGATTACAGGTGTGAACCACCTTGATGGGGCTCTGAATCTTACAAATTCTTGACTCCTTCCTTTTGCATATCTGTTTTCTTATTGTGAGGCTGTTGACTTTTATAGCCTTTCAGAGGTTGGTTAGACTTACTGTGTATTTTTACCCAAACTTTTAAATTTATACAAAATTGAGCTTGTGTAGAGAGGTTCTGTCCTACTCTGATATAGAACTTGGACATTCAATGAATGACATTTTCCAAATAGATGGGTCAATAATTTATATTCTTTAATGGAGAGTCAAAGGATGAACAATTAGTCTAAATTTCCTTGTGACTTGGTATGGAGCATGCTAGTGTAAGTTGTCATGTAATCATAACCTTTGTGAATTTATTATTTTTTTATTTTCCAGAGATGTTTAGGTAGTTGATAGATCCTGTAGTTTAACTTGATTCCTGGATAGAAGCTGGATTCATCTGATACCAGAGGTAAGTGTAAGAAAAATCTTAATTTTTACCTCATTTGAGTTTTTATTCACCTAGTAAGATTTGGAGCTCAGTGGTATTAGTAGCTGAAATTTGGTAGTTGAAAATACCCAGTTCCAACCTTAAGAGGGCTTTCCTGTTTAGGGATGAAAAGCCAGTGGTAGTTTGCCCTTCACCAGTCATTTATAGTTTGCCATGATGAAATGCATGTTAAGTCCGTGTTTCAGCTGATCAGTCTGATTAAACACATGCTCTGAGCAGACTAAAGCTAGGGGCAAACACTTGGAATTGAATTCTGCTTGTTGGAATTCTTACTGGGATTTAGCCCATGATCCCAGGTAATTCTTAAATTTCTGAATTATCAATTTGATGTGACCAACATTTTGTTATGCTTTGATCTTTTGTGAAATCTCTATGTCACACACATAAAAAAAACACTTTTATGAGATTGAACTAGGGTCAGGAACAGGAATCCTAATCTAAAAATTTAGTGTGTTTTTTTTTTTTTTTAAAGACAGGTTCTTGCTCTGTCACCCGGGCTGAAATGCAGTGGCACAGTCATAGCCCACTGCAGCCTCAAACTTTTGGCCTCAAGTGATCCTCCTGTCTCAGCCTCCCAAATAGCTGGGACTACAGGCACGCACCACCATGCCCAGCTAATTTTGTATTTTTTGTAGAGACAGGATCTCACTATGTTGCCCAGGCTGGTCTCAGACTCCTGGCTTCAAGTGATGCTATTGCCTTGGCCTCCCAAAGCACTGGTATTACAGGTGTGAGCCACCATACCCAGCCTAAAAATTAAACACTACAGAAAATGTATTGGCAACTGCTATAATTCTATCAGCTACTTAGATTGGCAGTTTTAAACTAATCACTATTTTATCAGTCTATATATATAAAGATTAAGGGAATCTCAGAGTTGGTCAAATCAATTTTGTGAAGACCATATAATGCACACGATACAGTCACTTAAAAGTTATGATATAGGGCCTAATGTGGTGGCTCGCACCTATAATCCTAGCATTTAGGGAAGCCATGGTGGGCGGATCGTTTAAGGTCTGAAGTTTTACACCAACCTGAGCAAGAGTGAGACCCTGTCTCTATTAAAAATAGAAAAAATTAGCCGGGTGTGGTGGCACTTGCCTGTAGCCCCAGCTCCTCAGGAGGCTGAGGCAGGAGGATCAATATAGCCCAGGCGTTTGAGGTTGCAGTGAGTTATGATGATGCTACTGCACTCTAGCCTGGGTGACAGAGACTCTGTTTAAAAAAAAAAAAAGTTATGATATAGATTTATTGAAATGGAGTGGTATTCATGACATCAAAAATAGGATATAGAGCATTATGTTTCTGCTTAAACATTTTTATTTGTATATTTTTGCTTGAGAAATCATCTTTAAAGGATATATATACACATTCACATACTAGGGGTTATTGTCTCTAGAATTGGGTTCTATGAGTGATCTTGATATTTTTGTTAACCTGTATTTTCTAACTTAATTACATTCATGTATTATATAATTTAAAAAGTTATTTTAAGCAGCTTAGGACAGGCTTATATTCTTATACCTGCATTTTCAGGCAGAGAATGAGGGTAAAATACAGGAAATACAAGTAATTCAAAGTAATATCAGCACTTGAAATAATTTTTCAGCTTTTTGCTGTCTTTTGCAGAAGTAAAATTTCAAGAGACCAAAACCAAATCTGAATCTCACTTTTCTAGTCTGGACCTCTTCAGTTTTATAAATCCTGGATATACAATAGATGATGACTGCATTTTTCTTTTATGGTAAGGCTTGAGATTGAGAAGCTTTGACGTGCATATGAATCTTTGAAAATTCATCTTTGTGAGTTCATAGCCAGCTGCTATGGTGGTATAAAATTCATTTTTTAAAAAATCAATTAAAAAGAAAAAAGAAGAAGATAGAAAAGGAAAAGAAAAAGAAGTTAAAAAAATGAAAAGTCAACTAAAGATGTTGAGAGGTAACATAGTATATGTATGTGTGTTCTGGAATCAGACCCATGCTCTATCATTTAATAAGTTATGTAACCTTGGCAAATTTCTTAATATCTCAGTGTCTTTTAGTTTCTGTATATCTTAGAAAATGATATTAGTACCTGACTCAAAGAATGGTTATTTTGAAGATTAAATTAGATAAATAGGCAGGACTTAGAACATTGTAAAGCATATGGTAAATGCTTAATAGATGTTAGCTATTTTGCTATCAAAGTCTCTATATATTTATCTTAGACTTTGTACTACCTGGCAATTTCTTACATCTGCATAATAGGTTGTCAGAAATTCTTTGTTTTTATTGCTTATATGTCTTTTTGTCAATTGGCCTATCCCTTGTCACCTTCATCCCTGCATCCAAAGCCTAAGTTCTAGAATTAGGCATAGTATGGTAATGGGACTATAGTGTGTATGTATCCTTATAATAATTAATAATTATTCCAATAACATTTCCTTTAGTTGATTAATCTTAGTTTTGGCACTAACTTATTTGTCATACGATTCCTCATTTTGTCTAGCTGGATCGGTTGATCCTTAATGGTCTTTTCCAGTTCTTATTTAAATGTAACGATTCTTATGAGTCTCTGGATGTCTTTATTTTTTATAAATGTTCTTAAAATAATGTGGTTGGAGGTAAACTTTGATGGCTGTTCCTCTCACTGCTTGGAGCCTTAGGCAGTGGGATTTTGATCCATCATATATCAAAGCTGGCTTGTCTTCACTCAGAGCACCATGGGGATGGGTTGGCTATCCATTAGTGCCTTCTGATTTTTGCGGAGTCAAACAATTACAAAGCATATGGTGATTCTAGAGTAAGAAAATGTACTTGTGATTAAAAAAAAAAGAAGAAACCTAATTTCAAAACATGAGGGATATGCAGAGAACTCTTTGATTGCAATAGTATTTGGATAGCTCTGATCTAGCTCTGTGAAAGAAAGAGCTGTAGTCAGCTGATTCTGGGAGTTACTGAAACATTATACTCTAACATCATTCATGTTTAAATTTTAAATGGTTTACTCAGTTTTCTAGAGTGGTTGTTTACACATATTTCAGGGCAGTTTTAAAAATATCTTTTTCCTTGCAGCATGAAGGTAGATGATTCTTCAAATTAAAGATGGAAGCTGACTTTTCTCACCAGAAATCATTTTATACAACAACTTGCAAAAATGTAAGAGGTGGCAAAGGAAAGAATAAAATAATATTTTCATTTTCTTCTATTAGTCTTAGATCTTTTGCTAGATTGTAAGCTCCAGGAAAGCAGGATACCTCCTTCCTTATCTCTAATCTTATCTTTTTTTCCTTTTAAAATTTCTGGAAATGGCAGCCATTTTAATGGCAATTCAGCAAGCTATTTACATGGAATAACTGGGACTTAAACCTCAATTCTGATGTAAAATGTATATGTAGGTAGGTACATAACTGATTACTTTTGAGTCTACTTAACACTATTAATATCTGATTATGATGCTAGATATTTTAAGAACCAATGAAGAATAACTGCCAAAATAACCTATTTATGTGAGGAATAGATACATAAAAGCTTACTGGCATTTAATAGGAAATCTTTTAATTATGAACATTTTATTTATAGTCTTTCTGGATATTTGCCATTGATTTAAACTACACATACCATTCACGTATGGTTAAAAAGTGATTATTTCTGCTTTATATTTAATGTTAAAATATTGATATTCTCAATTGTTTTGGCTAAATTATACTGCCCTATATGCTGTATTTACATCATGATGATATATTTAACATGCAAGGGGTACAAAATAAGAATCCAAATATTGGAAGTCTGGTATACATCACTGTTTTTGCAATGAGAAAAATATTTGTGCCTATATCAGAATCTGACGAATGGTATGCAACTGTAATAACTTCTGTTGGCCAGAATATGAAACCTATTCTTGGCCAGGCATGGAGGCTCATGCCTGTAATCAACAAAAAACTTATTTTTTCTTTAGATTAAGATTCTTCTATTAAAACAAATACAAGTATCAAACAAATTTTAGATGATGCTAATAGTCTAAGATTCAAATATAACAGGGAAAATTACCATCTCTGAAACTCTTAGAAAAATGTGGTATATAAATACTCATAAGCTGATAGGTACTTGGAATATTGACACAAGATCAAAATCAGTCTTCATGGTAAAAATACCATTTTTGAAAGGTGAAAGTAAATGGTATAAATTATGTGTAAGCACAAATTGTACTGTCAGAATATAGAAATCAAATGCCCTTCAAATTGCTTTATGAATAACATAATCATGAATATTCAGTAGTTTGTGTAAAAACAGTGAATAGCATGAGTTAAACCACATCAAAAATAACAAGAAATATGTTAGATCTTTAAGTTGTCAGACCTTTCTGTTGAAATTCTCAATTTTTGGCTATTGCAAACAAGGTATCAAAATAAACAGTAAGGAAGTTAATTTTCTGTGTTCAAGTATAGCACAATTACCACTTGTAACCTAATGCTTTTTTTCCTTCATTATGATATCTCTAGACTGCTTTTCTAAATTTCTCACAAAAACTTTTTCATAAATATAATTTTGTTATTTGGAGTAGTTTTGCCTTTGTGGTTGGTGGTTCTGTTTCATATAGTTAATATAACTATTAAATCTCATTCTAAAAGCAAATGAAATACACCATTTCCAATATTTTAATGTGTTTTGTATCCCTTGCATGTTAAATATAATCTAGGAATGTAACTTGATAACCATTTCCATCAAAGACAGGTTGTTGGAGTGTTTGCTTTCTTGAATATTGTGGACACTCTTTCCTTCACAATTCTTATTGTTATTCAGACTATTATTTATATTTGAAAAACAAAACTTTAAAACTGTTGAAAAGCCTACAATATGATATTGGAGTAGACATAAGCACAAAAAGGAAAAGTTGATAAATTTGTGTATGCTAAGATTCAAACTTATGTTTACATGCCATATAGCTATTTAATGACTTTATATAAATCAAGAAAGTTATCAAAGGATATGAATAGGCAATTCACAGTTGAGCATCCCTGAATAATTCACATGAAAAGATGCTCAACCTCACTAGTAATCAAAGAATTGTCCATTAGAACAATATTGAGATACCGTTTCACTGTCATTGGAAAATAATGAAAACAAAAGAAAACAACTTGACCCTTCTGCATGTTGGTGAGTCTGGAATATTGAGCTCTCATATACTTTGCTGGTGGCAGTGAAATTTATGTTATTACTTTGGAGAGTGGTTTGGCAGTATCTAGTTTATTTGAAGATTCTTATATTAACCCGGTTTCTGGGTATTATATTCTAGAGGAATTCTTGGCATGTGTACTCAAGGAGACATGTGCAGAATGCTCAATGCAGTATTGTTTTTAATTGTAAAAACCTGGAATCAATGTCCATTAGAAGATGGGTAAATATACTGTGGTATATTTGCAGTATACGGCTGTTAAAAATGAATTAATGCAAAGTACGTATTAACTTGGACACATGTCCAGGAAGTGATCATATTGCAGTACAAAGTTAACTTAGCATCATGAAGTTAAGTACAGATCAAATTGGAATGTTTTGTTTTTGAACTCTAAATGAGATTGTACCTTTTTTTGTACTTTAGTATTTCTACATTTGGCATAATTAAAACCAGAAAATGCACAAAAGGCTCAAACAGCCAGCAACAGATGATAGGGAATACATGGTTTATACATGAACATCTAATTTTCTTTGTATCCAGTTTATACCAGAATTAAGTTACCACTCTAAACTCTCAGAAGGTATCTTAGGAAACGTATACGAAGGCCAAGATGACCTAATCATATTACTGTGAACCAGCTGCAAACAGACAAAACTGGCAGGAAGTTAATTAAGGCAGTTTTGAATGAAAAAGGTTTAGTTAGTATTATGGATTCACAACTCATAAAGGGGTTTGCAGGGTTTGGTGTTCCTTATGTGCCTGATTGTATCTGTTACTAATTCATAATAGGGTTACATCTGGAAAGGTGGCTACAAAAGTCGTCATTAAGGCTTATATCCTGAGGACCCTCTAGCCCTCTTCCTCAGCTTAATTTTTAATCTAAATTCTAGGCGATAGAATCTGATGTCACAACTTTAAAGTGATCTACCTGTGTGCTGTTAGAATTTAGATCCATATAGATTAAGCAGAAGATTACACAGTTGTTCAGGTGAGCAAAGAAAAGTGACGGATAACAGCATTAGAGTAAAACTGGTACTGTACAAACGTTTAAACACAACCAGCAGTTCCAGGAGAGCACACAGGTGGGTAGATCACCTTAAAGTTGTGACACCCGACTCTATCACCTAATTTCAAGTACTTGCTGTATGTAATGAATGGTCGTAATGCAGACTCCAAGTTACAATTTCTTTAAATGTGTAAAAAGGATGTGTGAAAGCTGGAAAGATGTTTATTCCAACATGGATAAAGAATGAAATGGTAGACTCTACCTCAACATGGAGGTGACAGCTGTCCAATTACAGGTATCACACAATTTCTGGGAATTTCTCCTGATACTTAGAAAGCCTGCGCTGCCGTCCACAACTTCCCAGATATTCCTAGGACACACAGCTGGGGCTCAAGCCGGCGCCGCCTTCTCAGCTCCTGCACGCCCACCTCTGCTGTAGTCACAGACTCTAAAGATACGCCCATGATAAGAAGGATGTTACTCTTGTGCCAGTTGCAGGGAGTTAAGGGCACTCAGTTAAGGGCACTCACCGGACTGTGGGACTCCAAAGTGGGAAGCCAACTCTAGGGGTCGTCGCATTCGCTTCCTCTCGGCTTGAGTCCGGCACCACAGCCTGTCAGGTCCCAGCATCCTGAGCGCCCCATCCCCACGCCCTCGGCCCAGCAGGCCCCGGGGCGACACCACGCATGCGCTCTAAGGTGGTGTGGTCTGGACGCCTGCGGTCTCAGCTGGGCGGGGAATCCTCGCTCGAGGTGGAGTTGTGGCGGCAACGACATTTTCCCGCGCTTTTTGTGCACGTCAGATTAAGTATTTTATTTCTAATGTTACTGTTGTTATTATTTTCTCTGTTGAGCGCGGAAAGCGGGGTGAAAATTCCAGAGTGGAGTTTTTGTAGGTGTGGTTCTCTAAAACTTGCCCCTCAGCTTGTACAGCCCATTAAATTGGCCCTTTCCCCCGCCTCAAGGGAAATTTGGAGTTAGCCTCTCGCTCTGCCTAAGAAGGAGCTCAACTTTAAAACTGTTATCAAGCTCTTCTGCTTCCCCTGTGCCCATTACTCTGCTGGAAGTAAGATAGGCCTCCTAAGTAAGTCTGGCTGCCAGGTGACATAAATACCTGTGGAAACTAACATGTGGTTTAAAGGTGTCACAGCGTCCCTGTCGACCAAAGCAACTTTCTTGACAATTTGTCAGTTGATAAATGTGAACATTTTCCCTTGATGTATGTTGGGTGTGTTACTATTATTAATATTTTATGCAATATATGGCTTGTTTTGGTATGCCCAGAATATTGCTTCCTTTTTACAAATGTTTTTTAAGTAGAAGCATAGCGTTGAATAGTACAGTATTTATATTAACTGAATTGTTTAACTCATAATAAAATAACTCAGTCTTCATAATGGTGAATTACTTGGATGAATTACGTTAGTTTCCATCCAATGCTAGCAGGCTGCTACTCTTTAAATCTGGGCAACACAGGTAAAGAATCTGAGAAACCTGCATATGTGAAAAGCCTAAAAATATTGCTTAAAAATATAATACTTTGTACTAAAGAATGGCTGAAATCAGTGGCTGGACTTTTATGTTTGCCAAGTGTCAGATATGGTACTAAAATATTCTAGCAAAGTATCAATGGATAATACATTTGGATTTTTGTTTAGGTATTGGATGGTTGAAGGCACTGATTTAATTTTTACTTGTTTCTACTTTGCAAATACTGCTGCTGCTTTTTTTTTTTTTTTTGAGAGGAGGTATTGCTCTGTTGCCCAGGGCTAGAGTACAGTGGCATCATCACAGCTTACTGCAGCCTTGAACTCCTGGGCTCAAGCGATCCTCCTGCTTCTCAGCCTCCTGAGTAGCTGGAACTACAGGCATGTGCCACCACACCCAGCTCATTTTTAAATTTTTTTTGGAGAGGTGGAGTCTTGCTATTGTGCACAGGCTGGTCTTAAACTCCTGACCTCAAGCTGTCCTCCTGCCTCAACCTCCCAAAGTGCTAGGATTACAGGTGTGAGCCACCATGCCTGGCCTTGTAAATGTTCCTAAACTTTTTTTCCACATACAAATTATTTTTGACTTTAGTATTGTAACTATGTATGTCTTTAACTTTTCCTTAAATTTTTTTTTAAAAAAAGAAAGGACAAAGGAAAAGCACAATAAATATTGTTGAGTGACTGAAATCAGTATAATATATTGATTGGAATAAATACAGAAACATAAAATGTACATTATTTTATATAATAAATGAAAACATGTATATTTTATTTTTTACTTGTTATTTATTTCATTTTCATTGTAATTTGACTTATTCGACCTTTTCATTTACTCCTTATTAGGGCTCTTTTCAGCATCTGGAGACCTCAGTATCCTATTATGTCTTTGTGTGAAGACATGCTGCTCTGTAATTATCGAAAATGTCGCATCAAACTCTCTGGTTATGCATGGGTCACTGCCTGTTCTCATATCTTCTGTGATCAGCACGGTAGTGGTGAGTTTAGTCGTTCACCAGCTATCTGTCCTGCCTGCAACAGTACCCTTTCTGGAAAGCTAGATATTGTCCGCACAGAACTGAGTCCATCAGAGGAATATAAAGCTATGGTACTGGCAGGACTGCGACCGGAGATTGTGTTGGACATTAGCTCACGAGCACTGGCCTTCTGGACATACCAGGTTAGTACTTAGGATAATTTCTCTTGAGAGTATGATTTGAAGCATATGTGGGAGCTTCTAATGTTTTTCCTTCACTATTTTATGTTTTTTATAAATACGTGGAATTAATATATTGTTTTCTTTTTTTCAAAAGCAATGATATTTATTGTTGAAAATCAAACAGTAAGAAAAAACCACCTATAATTCCATCACTCAGAGATAGCCATTGTTGATAGCTTT